TAAAATGCATCGAGAACGACGTGCGCCCTTGTATTCTTACAAGTACCCCACGCATTATTGTCTTCGAAAATATAATTCTTGTCATTCACACACTTTCGCTTTCGTAGAATAAATTCGACTCTTTCATTCGCATTAAATTAGCGTTTTTGGAGCACTTTTAAATCGTTTTACAATGAGCAAAATTTATTTATTAAAAAATTATAGAAAAGAGAACGCTTTTTACTTATTTAAAAAAAAACATTAAAACGTGGTTAATAAAATAAACAATTGGAACCAGGGGCGGCCTTAGTCATTGGAAGGTTCCGGGAGGTTAAATTTTTGCGAGACCCTCGTCTTTGTGGAATTAATTTTAATGACGATACTTAAAAAATGCAAAGTGATTCATAAATAAGTTTACAATTTTAAAATTGTTTATCGAAAATTAAAAAAAATTGATAAAGACAAAGATAGCAAATTTGCGGCTTCTTTTAAGACTATTAAGAAATTCAAATAAACATTAGTAGTATGTACTATTACTACCTAATATTTTTCTAATTAGATTGTTGCGCGAGTGTGNAGGAGATCGGGCTGAAACTATAGCTACAAGCTATCCAAGGATGGTACTATAGAATGTCACCTCAAGGTAGGCCTAGTGGCGTCATCTCTTGGTTAGGCCGGAAACTTATCAATCCACCCTCGTATAAAGAGCAGCGCTTCGATATTGTAGCCGATGTAATAACGTATCTATTTCAAATTTAAAGAAACAATTACTAAAACGAAGTCGCAGAAAGACGAAGAAAGGCTACAAAAAGTAACGCATGTTAAAAGGCTCTAAATTGTGTTACGCGATCCGTTGCGCAGTAAAGAACTGCACACCTGCCTTGGACGCGCAGTCGTTTATAGCGCAGCAGATTATTGCGTTTTCTATCTTTTATTAATCATTGTGCTTTGTTCATTTATTCGATTTAGGTTATGTTATTGCTCCATTATCTAATTTTGTTGTTCTGTGCAAAAATATTCGCAAACAAAAAGAAATTCTGCTGTAAACTCCCTTACTTTAGCATATTTTTTGTAAATGATTACCTGTATTAAAGCGCCTACTTTCAAAGAAAATCACCTGAAGATTACATTCCCGCCTCCGCCTTTCAGAGATTTCTTTCTGCATGAACCCACCACACGAAGTATTTTCCGATGCCAAGACAAAACAAGCAAAATGATCTAGTTTTCCTTGAGATAAAATTGCTCAACGGCGAGTTAATTCAGAAATTTTCATTGGCAACTCGAGGAAAAAAAAACAAGCGAACAGATAAATAGCGTAACCAAGCAATTCTTGTCATTCTTTCGCGATTAGTTAACGAAAACATTTATATGTAAAATGCATCGAGAACGACGTGCGCCCTTGTATTCTTACAAGTACCCCACGCATTATTGTCTTCGAAAATATAATTCTTGTCATTCACACACTTTCGCTTTCGTAGAATAAATTCGACTCTTTCATTCGCATTAAATTAGCGTTTTTGGAGCACTTTTAAATCGTTTTACAATGAGCAAAATTTATTTATTAAAAAATTATAGAAAAGAGAACGCTTTTTACTTATTTAAAAAAAAACATTAAAACGTGGTTAATAAAATAAACAATTGGAACCAGGGGCGGCCTTAGTCATTGGAAGGTTCCGGGAGGTTAAATTTTTGCGAGACCCTCGTCTTTGTGGAATTAATTTTAATGACGATACTTAAAAAATGCAAAGTGATTCATAAATAAGTTTACAATTTTAAAATTGTTTATCGAAAATTAAAAAAAATTGATAAAGACAAAGATAGCAAATTTGCGGCTTCTTTTAAGACTATTAAGAAATTCAAATAAACATTAGTAGTATGTACTATTACTACCTAATATTTTTCTAATTAGATTGTTGCGCGAGTGTGCGAAGCCCCTGCAAGAGCGAGGCCCCNATGCCTCATAAATGATCGTAATTAGTGTATTTATAAGTAACATACTATTTTGTTAGTTTTGTGTTTATTACGGGATTTATTAATTGTTAACAGGAAGAGATGCTCATCTAATTTTCGAAATGCAATTGATATGTTACAATAAAAACGTTAGTCGGGTATATTTATCAAGAAGAGTAAAGATGAACTCCTGACGGATTATAAGGAACCATAACAACACCATCATTGTAATTTCTTCTGAGTTTCTTACAATCTTATTCTTTTATCCCTTAACCACACTGCATTACTCATAATGCGATTCTTTATTGCATTTAGTTAATACTATCAAAGCTTGCTAGTTATTTCAGCATCAGGGGCGGCCTTAGTCATTGGAAGGTTCCGGGCGGGTAAATTTTTGCGAGGCCCTCGTCTTTGTGGAATTAATTTTAATGATGATACTTAAAAAATGCAAAGTGATTCATAAATAAGTTTACAGTTTTTAATTTTTTTATCGAAAATTAAAAAAAAAATTGATAAAGACAAAGATTGCAAATTTACGGCTTCTTTTAAGATTACTACGAAATTCAAATAAACATTAGTAGTGTATACTATTACTACCTCATATTTTTCTAATCAGATTGTTGCGCGAGTGTGCGAGGCCCCTGCAAGAGCGAGGCCCCGGGCGGTTGCCCTGTTCGCCACCCCCAAAGGCCGCCCCTGATTTGAACGGTTTACAATTCTTTTTATTCTAGTCTACTCTATACCTGTTTCGGTTTCTTAGGGCATGTTCGAGAGTGCAAAAGTCCTGAATTACTCCTTAAAAAGGAGTAATCAAAATAGAAAAATTTGAAACGTTCCACACATAAATTTCAAAATGTTTCATCTGCAGACAATAAAAGTTAAAATTACTTTAATTAAAAAGCCTTAAAAATTAGTCCATCTATTTTGAATGCATCATGTTGAAGACCATCTCGAGACTATTGGTTGTAGAAACACGTTTTAAGCTTTCAATGTTTTTTTGTGAAATTGTGTGTTTTAGTGTTTAATTTAGACTGTAATTATAATTAACCTTGGGCTCATGATTAAAGAGTATTAATGCTGTACAACAAGTGGAATACATTGAGAATTGATATTGCTTAAGTATGATATAAAAAAGGTTAGGAGTGATGAGGGACTAGAAGGAGTAATAGGGTGCAAAGGCTACTAAGGTTAAGAGTAGTAAAAATGAAAGATGGTGTGGTTAGAATACTCTTTAAGGCATCATGTGTAGGACAGTTAAAGACATATCAGAAGAAACAGGAATAAAGACAGGCGGGGAAAATCTAGATTAGGTTATTGCAAGGAGAAAATGAAAAAGGAAAATTTACGTAAATATTAAAACGATGTTTACAATTTATCCTACTAGCCCTTTGCTTCGTAAGCGAAAATAATAAAAATTACAATTTGTAAAGATAAAATCCCAACAGAAACTACTAGATATTTGAGTTGATATTACAAATTAAATTGTAATAATTAAGAAGATTGATAAGTACAAATTAAGCTGATCAAAGTGCGTAAGAAAATATCAGAAAAACGTTGGAAAATTCAATAGCGGCTTTTGGAGAAAAAGGAGAAAATTTCCATGCGGTGTTAAAGAATTGAAAAGTAAAAGAGGATTGCACTGGTATTTTACCAGTTTTCAGATTGAATTCCTCGTGATGACAATGAATGGCTTTAGATTTTGGTTTTAAATACTGTTGATCTTCTGGTTAACCACTTCTTAAGGACGAAATTCATGGATATTAAAGGATATATTAAATATTTTTAATATGCCGCATGAATCCTTTATATAAAAATTTCCAGCATCATCATCATTGTTAAATAAAAATATGGAGCAATATGTAGATAGTAATAGTTTTGAAATTCTGTGTATAGGGGTGTATTTTAGAAGTCTAAATAATTCAGATAAATATACAGAATATCCCAAAAAAATCTAAAAATAAAATCAAAACGAAGTCGTTGTTTTTTGAAGTGAAACTTCTTTACGCACGGTAGGGTAAGTTCGTTTCATGCGAGTTGCCATGTAACGAAATCATGCAACGCATTTCCCCCACTGTCCCTATGTATGCTTAGATCTTCAAAACTATGCAACGGATTTTAATGCGTTTTTTTTTTTAATAGATAGAGTAATTCAAGAGGAATGTTTATACGTATATAACATGCATAATATATGTAGTAGAAAAACACTGATAATTTAAGAAGTTTGTAATTTGATGTCGTAAATAAACGCTTACATTGCAAACGCTAGCTGAACCCTACAAGATAGATCAAAATCATATACTACACTATTGTACACCTTAAAAAGTTCTACAAAAAAGTTCTACAAAAAAGTCCAGGATGGTATATTTCTATCTCTTAGGGATAACTCACAATAACCATTTTTTATCCTTTACTTTTTATGAGAAATAACGGCTTATTTCCGAAGTGATTTTAAGCAATACAGCATTAATCCTTATCCAATTAAGTACTTTAAAATACTTTGTGCATTTAATATAGATCAATATGGCCCTTTACAGCATGTAATTTAAATGAATATTTTCGAAGATATTACAGACTTAAAATGCAGGGACATAGCGGTTGCGGCGGTACCGGCCGGTTTGTATTGTCTAATGACAAAAAAAGCTGTGATTGTTGTATATAAAGACATTCTACAGTATATTTAACATCAGCATTGCACCCGTGCGAAGTATAGTGTACAAATAATACCATTAAAGCAATTCCTTAACCCCTATCCCGGTATTTTTGTGTGTTTGAAGAAGTTTCACTTCAGTAGCGTGTTGTATAATTACACATTGTATTTTTTTAATAGCCACAATGTATTAAAAATACATAAAAGCGGAACGTAGATGAGTCGAAAGAACGTTTTGTTCTTTTAATGTACCCAAAAACTTGCCAGAAGGTCAAACAAGTTCAACAATTAGTCCAGAAGAATTCGAGAAAACGAAGGCTTTCAGCATCACTAACACTGACGATATAGCGCGGTGATCGCATTTAAGAAAAGAAAAAAGAAGGAAACAAACCAAACTTCTTGGTGGTAGCACTGCGATGCTGCAGTCCTTCGCAGGCGCGTCCCTATAAAAGACACACGAAAGTGACTTTTTGTTATTACTATTATTAAATCGAACGCGCCAAGAGAAGAGACACAACACCATGATCCGAAACGTAAGTAATAAATGCATCTCTGCTGTTTATCCTAATTACATACATTTAAAGTAGTGTTTTGTAATGTGAGTGACGTAACTACATATAGGTGTGTGCCGATGTACGTGTTTGTGTGGGTACTAAATGTGGTACAAATATGTAAGTGACCTAATAGTGACTTGTCGCCTAATGCATACTAACGAAAACGATTGGTAATGCAATTGCTTCAATATTCCAATGCAGCCTTTGATCTAATCAACAACTACGATTTCACGTTAAAATTTTAGTTAGAAATGTGACACACTGTATATATATAATTAGATTTATAAAAATTTAAAAAAATTATGATCATTTTTTATTGATTTTTTTTATATATAAGAACTGCTTATCAAATTCATATCTTGTTTTCTAATACTATAAATGTCACACTTTTAACAAACTGCTCATTTATGTGGCATACTGTATACTAATCGTTTCCCAATACAGATTTGAGTAAGGCATACTACTACTACTACTAATAAAACAAAAAACTGAAAGTTTAAAGTAGAGCTCGGAATTGTATTCGAATTATTTGAATTTTTAAATATTTCAGCATTCATAAAATAAATAATTTGAAAAATATTTGAAATTTGAATATTCATCTATTTAAATAGATGAATGTTCAAAGTTTGGGTTACCCAAAATTTCAAATACTTATCTGGATATCCAAATATTTGGACACTCCTACTCTTATTTGAATAAGGTTGAAGTTCTGTGGCTAACATACTTGAACAATTACCCTATTAAATGTGTGCATGTAGTTATTTTTTTTATCTTTTAACAATGAATGTTCAAATCGTCAAATTAAGTATATCAAGATTTCAGATATTTAAATACCCATAATTATAATATAGTGGAATTCGTTTATTATGACT